AAACCCTAAACCCCAAACCCTGTAAGCCCCAAGCCCCTAAGCTCGATCGAAGAACGGTTTGGCGAGGAGCTTCGGTACCTGCCTGCCGAGGATCCTCCGTTCTTTAGGGGCTTAGGCTTTTAGGGGTTTAGGGTTTAGGGGTTTAGGGTTTAGGGTTTAGGGTTTAGGGTTTAGGGGTTTAGGGTTTAGGGTTTAGGGTTTAGGGTTTAGGTAGGCCTTTGGGACATGTTATACTTTCCCTTATTATTGGGCTTATACAAGAGGATCTTATTTACAAATAATTTTCAGAGGCTTTGAGGTGATAACCTAATTTTTTCGGGTTTAAGGGGATTGGGGTTTAGAGTTTAGAGTCTAGACTTTAGGGGTTTAGGGATTTAGGGTTTCAGGGTCTAGGGTTTAGGGTTTAGGGGTTTCGGGTTGAGGGGTCTGGGTTCATGGTTTTGGGGGTTAGAGGTTTATGGGGCTTAGGGGTTTAAGGCCTAGGCTGTAAGTAAAGTAAGGATCCTGTAAAAGGGTTAGAGGAAAGTCTGTCAGGCTTCGATGCCGGGCTTTTGGGAAGCTAGGGTGCTTCGGGTTTAGGGGTTTGGGTTTAGGGTTCAGGGTTTAGGGTTGAGGAGTATTGGCTGGCTGTTGTTTCGGTTAGTTGCGTTTTGGAAGGAGGCGACTCCTCACCAATGCTGATTCGTAAGAAGCAAGGTGCCCTTGTTTTTAGGATGTTTTTAGGGTGGGTGTAGGGCCATTGATTGGTTTTACAATAGTATTTGCAGGAGTTTCGGCTGGGATTTTTGGATTCTGGAATGCGGGATTAGCACTGTTCGGCTTAAGACTTCAATTTGGGGGGGGCTAAGGGTCTTGTGTCTCGGGTTTAAACCCTAAACCCTAAACCTTTAAGGATCCGCCGTCTCCTTAGAATCACCCGAAGGGCGCGCGCCAACACCAACCTGTGAACCCAAAACGGCTTAACGGCTAAACCCTGCTAACCTTAACCCCTAGACACTAACCCTGATATAGGTGCCTTAATAATTAGCATAGGGTTTGGGGGTAATTATACTATACTGTAAGTATATAAGGGGCCCTCCAAAACCCTGATCTAGTTATTAAGGCCCCTACCCTAAACCCTCAACCCTACACCGCTTCATTAATCCTTTAGCCCCTGAGCCCCAACGTGTGCGAGGTCAGTTTTTTGAGTCCGCCCCAGGAGAGGGAAATCGAGAGCCGACTCGCGTCAAGGCACGGCATGGATGGGATGGAGGTCGCCTGCAGAATCAAAGTAGCCCAAAGGGTCCATGTACCCAAATAGGAGATACTGCTTTGGCCTTAAAGTAGTCCCTAGGCTCCAAAGTACCTACTATTTGGGCATATGGACCCTTAGGGTAGGGACTGAAAAGTAGTAGATCGCTCTAGCTCCCTGGACGGGCTAGGAATGTTTAGGATACTGTGCCTTGTCTTTCACCACTCCAAGACCCTAATGCCAATGCAGCCGTGCAGAAGCCCGAACAACAACAACAACCAAAAAAGGTATCCTGCACACCAAACCTAAATCCCCACACAACCCGATAAAGCGTCATCCTGCAGCAACACGGTGACACACCTGGCACAGTCAGCATCCTTGTGAAACTAACTTCATCGCTGACAGGGACGACGAGGAGTTGCTCCTCGCCGACTGGAAGCGACGCTGGTACGAGCAGGCCTGTCGGGGTTGGTATGGGAATTGTGGTTGCGTGGATAAAACAAAGTCAGACCCTAACCCTAAACCCTCAACCGCTGAACGCTAACACCCTAAACCCCTAAGCCCCAAGCAGCGATATAAGTTGTAGACGGATAGAAGGAGCGTCGTTGATTGATGCTACCGAAACTTCACAGTTCATGCGCTATACCTTCCCCCAACCCCAATTAGCGTTTAGCGTTTAGGGTTTAGGGTTTAACTATCAAGGCCCCTGAGTTTAAAGAACAAGCATACGCGGAGTCGTCCTTCCTGGCCATCTTGGCTCCTTGCCTTATTTTACCCAACACTCTCCCTCAACCCTAGACGACGATAGCCTTCAAAGCTACACCTCTAAAATCAAAGCCGCACCTGACCTAAACCCCCTGAAACTCCCCCTGGTGAGCCTCATACTTCGGCAAGACAATAAATCCTGATGCGGAAGCCCTAGCTCTAGAAACCTGTCGATTGCCGCAAGCCCTTGAGCCGACCCATCCAAGCGAGTCCCAAAACCCTAAAGGGTTTAGGGTTTAGGGTTTAGGGTTTAGGGTTTAGGGTTTAGGGTTATTCTGCATGACCCAAGTATAGTAGAGTACCATAATTCCCATAGTTTAAGTACATAAGGTAATGCATGATTTTG